GTGCTCCTCAGAAACATCAGAACTCGAATTTGCTCGAGAAAGATCCAGACGTGAAATCTTTTCGACAAGTGGACATTCAAGAAAGTTTTGCTATTGTTTATGACGAAAACATGACCGGGTTCTTAAGTTCTCCTAACTCGTCTCTAAAGGTCGTATATAAAGAAAGTGCGGCGTTTGAAAATAAGAAGTGCAGATTACTTCGGAATTCCAGTTTACCCTTTTATAACAGAAAACTGCAAAACTTTGAAAGAAAACATGGAAGGTTTCAAAGAGAAAATTCAGCTACAATAGATACCAAATCCGCTTGGAATTTTGTGAAATATCTATTTTGATGGGGAGACCTTATGCGCTCTAAAGCCACATAAGCGACAGCGAATAAGTGTTCGATTTTTACACGGAACATAAAAAGTAAATGCATAGTTTTCACAAGGAGGGAGGGCTTCAGCGAAAATCCTTTCTTTGTGTTTGTAATTACGAAGGTCTCAGCCATAGAAATAGAAAATTTCATCTGGTAAAGTCCACAGTAAATCATACGTTATGTTTAGAACATTGAAGCAAAAAATTTACTCTAAATTCTTACAGATAAATCCGTCCTGTGATAATTTCGCTTGGCAAAGTGAACGGACCTAATCAGAGTATCGTGTTCCTCAACTGCTTTTAATTGCTTATGTTATAATTTTGGTTACAGTGTGACACGGGGGCACCCCATAACATTGGCTGGAATTCAAGAAAACGCTCAATTTAGGACTGGTCTTAGAGGAGAAGGGAGATTCCGAGGTGCGTAAGCAATTCCCAGTCTCTCCGGAATTCGTCTCCGTTGAGCTTATCGCTAGTCCATTGCGAAAACAGAACTCAGCGCATCCTTGCACAAGAGACAGTGATGCCCCCTTCATTGAATGGACCCTGTGTGTGGTGTGGTGCTAATTTCGTTCGAATGCCACTACCGTTCGAGTGAACTAAGCGGAGTAAATAAGCGTGCATGTTTACGAGAAGAAAAGACTATCCTATGAGATAGAAAACAGTATTAATTAAAGTAAAAAAGAAACAAAGGAAATAAATCACGATGGGAGCAAGCAATGCAGACCGATTTATTCATAGAATTTTGGCTTTTAGATTCTACTTCATTTTCCTAAAGTAATTATATTCCATGCTCCCCACCTGTTGCATGTGGTTCCGAACATTCACTTCATTCCATTTTGCGTAGAACTTCTAACAATAAGTCTCATCTAGTAAGGGGGGAGGGTGCACTGCGGGGAGTCTGCTTCAATACCAGTTTGGCCAAGGAGTCCTTTGAATTACCAGCTGCTAGAAGTTTATTCGTTCGTAGTTTCATATACATCTCTTGATTATATAAACCACAAGTTTGGTGTGTCGGTTTGTGTGTGTGTGTTTGTCTGTCTGTCCGTCCGCAAAATGAAGTGAGTGATAAGGCAGCTAATGGAATAAACAAACCGCTAACAAATCTGGGTAGCTCGCAGGGCTTGCCTATCAATGTTTTGCAATGGCATGATTGTGATAACACCCAACGGCTATAACACCTACTTAGCACACTTCGGTCATTCCACAAGGTGCTGCAGTGGCAGCTGGAGAGCAATGGAGGGAGGAGGGGAGGATAAGGGAGAAAGGAGGAACGAAAAGCTTATGAAGCGTTCATAGTTGGCGGTCGTGCGTGCGATCAAGCGAGTGGGCGATTAAGCGATCACAATGGGCGGGACAGCGAATACGTACCCTCCTCTTATCGCCTACTCGCCTAATCGCCTAATCGATCGTATACTTTTCATTTTGAATCATCGCCTAATCGCCTAATCGCCTAATCGCACGTACGATCGCCAACTATGAACGCTCCATTACGTAAGGAGGGAAGGTTTTCGCGGTTGATCGGGAGGACTAATCTAGTTTTATGACATAATGTATGTGCGCTTGTGCTGGAAGACATAGACGTCTATGAATGTGGTAAGTGACAGAAAAACGTGATTATTGAAGTGAGCAGATACGATCAAGCCTAGGGGGAAGGAAGTCTCTAGGGAACACGAATCACAGACCCTGGTTCTCCCTCGCCTCTTCTCCCTTCTATGTTAGACCTAAACGTTTACAGTAAACGTATATGCTCCCCGTGGTTTTAGAGGCGTTCAACGCTTTGAACCGCAATACCCCCTCTTACTGGATGAGCCTTAAACTCTGTTACGCCGTTTCGTTATTAAATAAGTTATGACTGATGAGAATTATCTTTCTTTAGCCATCGCTTGCCAAAATGACGGACAGTTCTCGTGGCAGCATGGGGTAATCAGCTTCAATTTGTTCTTACCTGCATTGGATACTCGGTTGGATTGGGTAACCTGTGGAGATTTCCGGCAATGGCCTACGAGAATGGAGGAGGTATTTTATGAACTATAATGAATCCAAAACGCTGAAACTTCCGCAGTGTACAGGAGGAGTGCTACAAAAAGGAGTCACTCCACCTCCATCAAAAAACTTAACAACATTTCCCCACAGCAACAACATCAGGAAATTTTCACACGGAAGCCTTTAACGGTGAAACTTTAATCGATCATATTTTGCTGGAAGCAACCGGATGCTTCCAGCTATAGATTGAAAAGCACTTTCGGACCTATCGAACCTCTTAACAGTAGTCGTCTATAAGGGTAAAAACAGGAGTGATTGCCACGGGAATACGGTTCACAACTCGGCAGTGATTGCTTCTGCTTGGAGGAGATTCGTAGTATACTGTCGTGAGACTTTTATAAAGAGCAGCACACTGTATGACAAAAAGTTTGCTGATGTGTTCCAGGTCAAAATCTTGTTTTTTGTGCCCCTCTCCCCCCCCTCCCTAAATAAGGCGATAATGTGTCTTTGCGTACAACGAGATTAGAGATTACTCAAAGAATGAAAAGGTAGGGGCTGGTAAGGTTTCGGACGAGTGGGACATGGACGAGGATATACTACGGAGCACAAATATCTATGTGCAACCTTACCCATGATACCGAGAGCTTACAAAGGAGTCGGTGTCAAATTCAAAAATTCTTAATTCGGTGACAGAAAAGTTCTTATACCAAGAAAAATGAGCTCAGTTGTGGATTGATGGATCTGGTGAAATTTCGCAACACAGCGCAGAGACGAGGGAAATTGCGTTTAGGTAAAGTTTAATGTGTGTTGAACATTACCCGTGCCTTTGTAGTAGTGCCCATCTTGTCTTTTTTGTTACTATTATTGAGATTTATAAAAGTGAGAATCGCGACACGGTCTATTCCCATTGATACAATTATATTCACTGCTGCCTCAAGGAGGCATTGCATTGGAATTTCTTCTCCTTGAGGGGATGAGGATGATGTAGCTAACGTTAACACTGACTCGAAAAAGGGAAAAAGTGGTGTCGGCCACTGAATCACCACTTGGCTGAGATGGTAAGGATGCATAAGTATTGGCTGCACTCGTGGATAAGGCCCGGATCCATCGTCTTGATCATCATTCATTGGAGCTAATCTGTCCTTTTCACCACGCCCATAATTTTTGGAAATTCGACGATCTGCGAGTGAAAAGGGTTGTCATGAAGCGTTGCCCCCACCCCCACCTTTGTCGGGAGCGAGAAAAATGAGGAGATTTTCACTTAATGATTTCGTTTCTCAGTGGCGAGTCGAACTATGTATGTGCAAAACCACGAAACTGGTTGGACAGGTAACCAGTTATTTCATGAAAGCTATCGCTGATCCTTCGTTTAACAGTCTTGTGTCTCCTCTCCTTTCCATTATCTCCACAATCGGAGGGCAGCTTTTGGCTATCGAATTGATGATTTTTAGCACTTCTCATCGAGCACTTCACCACGTACGGTTCCGCCGTAGAACTTCGAAAATTCAAGCGAAAACGCGCATTCGCTTTTTCGCTCCTTTTCTGTTATAAGGTGGTTTAGCGCAGTAATTGCGAAACTAAAATTACCTCTGAACTCAGGTCGTTGAGATCCATAGAAAGTTGTGCTTTCAATTTCTGAAAGAGCTCCACCTTGGAATGCGCCATGCACTCGAGTTTTATCTAAATGTGATTTATTCTAGACGTTGTGTACATAATTCAATAACGTAACATGGTCGTTCTACAGAAAAATAGGTCTCAACATAGATCCAGTGACACGCACTACATTTAATCCACTACAATGTCAGATTAATTGAATTCTTTTTCGGGATACCGGGATCTCTACTTTGTTTTGAAGCGCTGATAACTAAACCTGTAGCTCTTGCGCTCAACATAAACTTCTCACATGGTAAAGTAGGAATTTCAGACTAGTTTTCAGCAGGAATAGTAAGCCTATTTTGTGGCATTTCCCATTCTGAAGGGGTGCTTCGATGAGATCTGAGAAGGTAGCGATGAAATCTCTCCACTGTCGTAGAGTACGTTTACTCAGGTGTAGAAATGAGATAACATATTTATTCAAGGAACAACCGAAAAAAAAACAGTGAGCAGTCTGCAAACAGACTCATTGCTGATTCGTGAGAACGCAGAGAGGATGTCTAGGTGAATTAGAGCTGCAATTAGGCGCTAAAAACATCAAGCCGCTCGACTTTGCTCGAGGAGTCGAAGTTTGTTTCGACTCCGCAGAGTCGAGCAGCATGATGTTTCTCCTGAGTGATAGGAGAAGGATCAAGAATGAGGTGGAAGTGGGCATTCAGTGCAGCAGGAACCATGCAGCTCCACTAACAGCTGTCAAGTAGCCGAAGCCAGCAGCAGATTCCCAGCTTACATTCGTTGAAAATAATGTGGACCCTCCCCAGTTATCAGCGGAAGCACTCTCCTGATGCGGATGATATTCTCATGCAAGATCTTCCGTACTTCAACTACGACAAAAATGATATTTGACGCTTCGCAAGATTATGGATCACTGGTCGATGACTGATGACCAATTTATTATTTGGTGATAGCTCTGCTCTTGCCTACGAAAGGGCCATTCAGTTGTGTGCAAACTAGTTGGCCTCTTGTGCTAAAATTGTCGTAACATAAACTAAGAAATGTCAGGCGACAGGAAAAGGGAATAAGCGTAGTCAGGCAGTAAGCATGATTGAAGAGAAATGATGAATGAGTCAGAAAAAAGAAGGCACAATAACAAGCGCACACACAGACGAGGATCTAAAATAGAAAGAGTGCGGAATGGCCACGGAATAATCAAGAATTTTCCCTTGTGCCTTTCAGAAGGGAATCCTTTGAACTTCCAATGGAACATTGAAAGAAAACCTAGGTTTGTCGATTGAGTCTTGAACGCTGATTACAAATAGGGACTCTAAAACTGCTACGTGAACTATCTAAGAAAGTTGTGAGCCTTTAAAGTTAGCAGTAAACGGGCGCCATTACATGGGAACGGCTGAACCACTGCGAGCGGTGTTAACGGGGTCGCAGTGGTAGAGCCCTCGCTCTGCAAGCGGTTGGTCGTGGGTTTGCTCCCGATCGGGTGAAGTTTTCCACACTCTTTTTCATATCCAGCAAGGGCTGTTATACCCGATTTTTGACTTCTATTCCACTTAGTATCTGGTAACGACTCCCATCTTACGCTTGTCATCTACGCTCCTCGGAGGTAGGGTAGCTTATCTATAAAGTATTTATTTCGCACTAAGACACTTTAGGAAATAAACGAATGTAGACCCCACTCAACCACTCGATGAAGCGGCCGATGAAAAAAATGTGATCAGCGACCTGTGTTCGCAAATCCACGCCATCTTAACTGAATGCTCCTCTACACAAGCGAGACACGATCACTGCGCCGCTCGCTACCAACGGCTCGCCCGGTGGTTTAGCTGTTCTTACGAGATGGCGCCCGTTTCCTGCCAACTTTGAAGGCTCACAACTTTCTTAAAAAGTTCACGTAGCAGTGTCAGAGTCCCTAACTGCAATAAGCAATCAAGACTATATCGGTGTGCCTAGGTCTTCTTTTAGAATCAGATGGGATCTTCAAAGCATTCCCTTGTAAGAAGCACTGACACTGCCTATTTAGTGGGGAAGATAAAACACGCACAGAAAACTTCATCAAGACTAGTGAATTCAAGAGATAATCACTTGCATTTTTCTTTTTCAGCCGCATTCCTCATTCCTTATGTGATTTGCTCCGTTCTTGTCGGACTTCCATGCCTATATCTTGAGTTGTTCATTGGTCAGTTCACTCAATCTGGACCATCGAGAGCATTCTGGTACTTCATGCCAACTCTACAAGGTAACCAAGCATGGGAGCGCTTTTGAATTATGTTTGGGAGCCGATTTGATTTGTCCAATATAAAAAAAATTTACCAGAAGTCACTGAAAGCTGAGTCAACGACACCTTCTATAGGGGCCACTATGCAAATTCCCCTCTACATGATATTGCTGGGTTCGCAACTGCAGAAATAGAGCCACTTCGTCGCTTAAAATGCGCGGAGCGGGTACTTTTACATGATGGTCGTTCAGCACCTATTTCTTTTGAATTCACGCGAGTCAGTTAGCACCTGCTGCTTCATATACAGTGCGTTTCAAAAGTATGTGGACACCTCAAAATTCACGTTAAAAAGGTAACTAAGAGGTTCGTGCTATGCAACCCTCCTCAATCGATTCCTCGATAACGTATCAATGTAGTTTAGCAGATAATATCGCCTTGCTTTAGTAAAAAAAATTTGAATGAAATTTTCTTCTTTGTTTCAAAAGTATGTGGACACTTAACAAAAGACAAAAACATAGCTGAGATTAGAAATCAGTGGGGCCTCCAGAGTTTCTAATTAGCTCAAACATCCTGTCCGGCATAATCTGAACCACGTTTGGCATAGCTGTTTCGTCGCTGTCGGCCCAAATAGCCTCTACCGCCGCCTTCAGTTCATCCGCGGTATTATACTGCCGGTTGCTAAAGTTAACGCCTTGATCAAGGGCTCCCTATAGGGTTGCAGTAAGGAGGACACACAAGCCAATCTATCGCTTCAGCACCATTTGGTTTGAGCCATTCTTTGGTAGATTGCGAACATTGAAAGACGCGTGGTCCTGTTGCTAAAATGCAATTTCGCTGCGCTCCTCTAAGAAAAGGCAACAGGTGATATTGGAGCACTGCTTGGTATTCTTTACTGTCCATACGCAGTAATGGAACTGCAACTTCTGAA